GCGTCGGAGGAGGAGGTTCCTGCACTGAAAAGGAGGCGCAGAGAGAAGCCGCCGGTGACCAAAACTTGGATGCCGACGGTCCCAATTCTTGATGTTACTGATGCTCCTCTGGCAACGAATGAACGCATGCTTATCCCGGGGGCAAAAATCATGGATTCCAACTTCCAAGTCTCGGATATTTATGACGCCGAGCTTGGGGCTATGCTGAAACTTCCCCCTCGCTTCTCCGTCGTCTTCCAGGCTCTATATGAGTCTTTTCTCGAGCCGCACTGGATTGCCGCCACCCAATCTTCTCTGGTTGACCGTCAGCGCAAGCAGATCTCCTTCCAAATCCATGTAAGCCTCGATCGAGCTGCCTCTTCTTTTTGTTGATTTCATCCTCTGTATCTTTACTTTCTGACCTTTAATTTTTCAGGGCCTAGTCCTTGCCATTCTCAACCTTATTGATCTAGTCAAGGTTGAAGAACGTGATAAGGAGATGGACAGCATGGAAGCCAAGCTTAACTCTCTTCTTGACGATGCCAAGAATAAGTGCTCGTCTGCCGTCGAGGAGAGGGATGTAGCCGTGGCCCAACTGAGGAGCTTGGAAGGTGAATTGGCCAAGATGTCAAACCTTCAGAAAGAGTTGACCAATTTAACTGCTGCGGTTGCGGATCTCACAAAGCGGGGAGAAATCTCTGAGAAGAAGTCAGCCGAAGCTACCGAGGCGGTGGAGAGGTGCTTTGCTGAAGGAAAAGCCGAGGGGAAGAAGGAAGCCAAAGCTGAGGCCACAGCAATGTTTGACGCCAAGCGTGTAGAGATCATTGAGGAGTTCAAGGCTTCTCCGGAGCTCATCGACATCCGCACCAAGGATTTTCACTCTGCTTGTCAACAAATCGTCGATCTGATAAAACAAGAGCATCCTGAGTGGGATTTGAGCTTCCTTTATGTTGCTCCTCCTCCTCCTGCTGATGATGACAATCCTTCCCCGCCTGGTGACAACGAGAACTCGGTGGCCAGCGGCGAGGCCTAAAGCTTTCCTTTTTTATATATTTTTATGTAATGTGGGACATATTTATTTTTTTATATATAATATTTGGGATTTTCACATAATTGCCTTCATTGCTTTCCTTCCCCCTCCTCCTTGGAAGAGTCAGCTTTAGCTTTTGCCCCTTAGGGTCGTCGCCTTAGAAAATTTCGTAAAATTTTCTAAGTTTTTGCTCGCCTCTCCTCCTTGGAAGAGTCGGCGTTAGCTTTTGCCCCTTGGGGTCGTTGCCTTAGAAAATTTCGTAAAATTTTTTAAGTTTTTCCTCGCCTCTCCTCCTTGGAAGAGTCGGCGTTTACTTTTGCCCCTTGGGGTCGTTGCCTTAGAAAATTTCATAAAATTTTCTAAGTTTTTCCTCGCCTCTCCTCCTTGGAAGATTCGGCGTTTACTTTTGCCCCTTGGGGTCGTCGCCTTAGAAAATTTCGTAAAATTTTCTAAGTTTTTCTTTAGTGATCCGTAGATCCCTTACTGCCCCCCTTGTCTGTTTAATATACCTTAGTTTTTTAAGCAGACAAGTTTATTCGAGGGGTGAATTCTTCTTACTTTTGGACAATATTTCTAAAAACTCATAATTTATTTAAATTGCCAAAAATGTAACTAAGATGCGTTTAAAAAACTACATACATTATTGGTAGTACAGCTTTAGCTGTTCTACATTCCATGGATGCTGAATCTTCTTGCCGGAGAGGCTTTCCAAAATGTAGGTGCCAGGACGCAACACTTCTCTTATTCGGTAGGGTCCTTCCCAAGTTGAGCCCAGAGGACCAGTATTTTTGGGTTTTGTACTCCGTGTTACCCTTTTCAAGTTGGGATGAACCTTCGTTGACGATGAAATGCCAACAGAAATGGGCCGGGTCACCTCTAGGTATCCCATTGGATTACCGGCTTAATATTGACCGTATACTTAGTTTACAGAGTGAAGTGTTTGTAGTATTTTTTGAGTGGTGAGCAATATAAAAAATATGCTTTAAAGTAGAAAAACACAAAATTTATAGTGGTTCACTCTGTTAATGAAGAGCTACATCCACTGTAGTTTAATATTCTTTTCGAGATTGTTACAATTTACATCAATTGTTGCTCTCATTCTCTTCTCTCGGGAAAAAACCAACCTCCTTCCTGTATGAGGCGTCCCCCCTTTTTATAGCCGAGCTTCCTTCGTCGGGCGGGTTTCCTTTGTAGGCAGAAGCACTCAAGTGGTCTGCCTTTCTAGGCCCAGACCGTAGCCCACTAATCGCTTTTGCGAACTGTTCACTCAGCCAATTAGTCTCCCATTACGGCTCTGTGCGCACCTGTAACCCTTTTCTGTCCCCCGTAGGGTGGTTTAAGGTTTTGCAATTAATACCTATACTACAGACATCTCTCATTTCTGCACGCAACTTGCAATGTCAGGCTTTTCCCTCTTAGGGCATTCCTCTCGCCGTCTCTATTTGCTCAGCCTAGTTTCTTGGCAATTGATTTCCTCCCGAAGGATTTCCGTCATAAGGTCGTCGGTACAACCTGTCGTCATCATGAGGAGTCGACGTCAAAGGTTGGGCTTCCTTTGCAGCAGAAGAAAAGGGAATCCCCACCGCCGAGGGTTGTTGCCTTTTGAGGGAAAACAAGGCCACATGTCACACTGTCATTTTTCCAAGCATCATTCACATTTTCCTACACAACAAGTTTGAAAAGTTCGAGATGTTTGTTCATGCATACTAAACTAGCACAGAGCACTATGCCTATGTTTCCAACCATGCCTATTCAAGTTTTTGACCCTGCTCGTTTGACTAAATTGGAATCATATGAAAGCTTATTATAACTGCAAATTAAAAAATAATGGGCAATCTTCAATTAATTAAAGAATATTTACTTGGAGTTCCCCTTAATCAAGAAATTTGTTTGAAAGAATAGGCAAATTATCATTTTGGTACTCTAAATTTTTCGACTTCATCATATTGGCACCTCCATATTCTAATAATATTCATGTTAGGGTGCTCTATTATGTTAAAAATATCATCTTGTTATCTTAACGTTGTTTTTTCGACATAAAATCTATGTGTGTCCTTTCAGCCTAAAAACATAATAAAAGAGGAACAACGAGAGAGGGGCATGAAAATCTTTCTATTTCTTTTAGCATTTTACTTTTTAAAAAATACTTTTTGAATTACATAAGTGTGTTTAGACTAAAAGGATATAAACGACATTTTATGTTTTTTTAAAAACGACCTTAAGATTCCAAATGATATTTTGTTGAACTACAAGATATTCTAATTAAGGATGAGAACTTTACCAGAGGGTATGGATACTCGCGGGTACCTACTTTTAATAAGACAAGTATAGAGAACACTATATGAAGGTGGGGGTAGGAATGAGGGTTAGAATTAACCCCCGACTCGGGGATGGGGCGGGGGTGGGGGAAGCTTCTCCTTCCCCTTCCCCGTCCCTGCCCCTACCTGAATATATGTACTTTTATTTTATATATATTATACTTTAAAATTCTTAAAATTGATGTATAATAATTTTATTTTTGGTTTATAATTATGAGATGTTGCTAATTTTATAATTAATTTAATGATGTTTGCTTTGAGTTTTATAACGTAACGAGAATTTTTTTTTATATTTTTTTAATAAGTAAATGGGTAGAGTATGGAGACAATTTTCTCAGTGAAAAATTCCTGACTCAAATCATGTCTAAAATTAAATGATTATGGAGGCAGGTACGAGGAACAAAATAAGAGTAGAGTATAGGGGTGGGAAGAACATACCCGCCCCGCCCCCGATTCTCCTCCCTTATTCTAATCGGATTATAAGAAGAGAAAGGTACCACTCCAATAACTATATGGTACTTGGATAATGATTTATTGCAGAAGTGGTCCATTCTTACGACTCTCCAGGAAAACAACCAGTCAACCAGATTATTTTCTTATGGAATTGGCACAATATCCATAGCAACCAAAATTAGGGTATTTATTTAAGATCGTGACTATGTTTTCGGTCTCTGGCTCTCAAGTACAAACAAACATTTGGGACGCTAATAAAACGACACTTATCATTTTGAAATACAAACAAAAAAATTTAGAATCTACAAATGTGAGCAGTATAAATATGAATATACTGGTATTGCCATTGATTTATAAATATGAATATCTTAGTTAAATATATTTACCATTAAAATTCACTTCTTTTATAGCACATGTTTAGAATAGCTGCAAGAACCACCGATTATTTGAGATTTGAGTTAATCCCACTACAATAGACGAGGTATATGAGCAATTCATTTGGTGAGAGATTTATATTATTATGCGAGGATACCTTCTCTCCTAAAATTATCTTAGTATGTCACCTTTAACCATTATTAACCCTTTTACTTCAATACAAACGTGCTGCAAGATCATTTTATTAGTAATTTAAAAGGTACCAGAAATAATTCAAATTCAATTTTTTGAACCAATGTCTTTCTTTTACAGAAGATAGTTCGCTCTAAGGCCTCGTTCATTTCACCGATTTGAGTTTTTAGTATTAGGTTTTTACAGTTAAAATTTCCCATAAAATGTCACATCTAATTTTTTCTGCTACAGTAAAAGACTCAAAAAAATGTCACATCTCAGCTTAAATTGAAAACTCAAATCTGCGATGTGAATGAGACTTAAGATTATTTGATGTGATTTATTGGCCCATATTTCTTCTATATAAGATAAAACTTGTGAGAACACTCTTTCATAATTTTTTGGTTTTCGTTCCAGAGAGTAGCAAAAACAAGACCAAAGAAAAGGAAAAAAAATACCACTCCACTAAAAGGCTATAATTACACCTAATTATTTAGAATGATATAAATAATAAATCAGTATAAAATCATAGCAAACCATATACTTTTCTTTTAAACAAGAAAAAGAAGGGAAAAAGAAAATGGAAAAAAAATACGAATTTAGTTTTTTCATTCAGTCAAACATAAGCACATGCAAGAACTGAAATAACTGAACAAACTGTATATGAAGCCTGAGCATTCCAGCAAAGCATTTTAATTTGTTGCAAGAATCATCATATAAACTTTTTTTCTTTTTCATGTTCCCAACCCCACAATGATTTTACTACGTTTTAATTTGAAAAGAAGGATCATTTACTTCTCTATAGAAGCATAGCTCAAACATGTTTCTTTTTTTTTTCTTTTTCCTTCTTACTGTAATCACAATCCATGAATTAATAAAACACTATTTCCTACTTGGTATCCGAGGAAGTTCATCAAGTGAACTTTAATCCTCTAATCTATTACACAGTCTGGCCTCAATTCCAACCATGGCCTCATTGGTTTTGACTTTTCCCTTTCTTTGACTTGTTCTTCTCCTGCATCTTCTTCTTCTTTGCTTCGGCTGTAATCCAAGTGTAATCTGAGGGAATCGCAAACGGGTCTTGAATAGTTTCTATCCTACTGCTAGAAATACTGGTGAACGAGCTAGAGCGGTGGTAAGGGGCTTTTATCCACTGAAACCATGACGAACTAGAAGACGACTGCGTCACTGCTGGACTCTCTCTGCCAGCAGCAGAAGGGCTTGACGGGGGTGTTGCGAATTCATCCAACGGTGCTAATTCTTCGAACTTCGTGAAAGTCACGATTACTCTGATAGTAGGAACCACGGGGATAGCAACCTGAACACGAATGCTAGCTATTGTTATAGAAGATACGTAGAGAGCATGGGAAAGCAGAACAAAGGACAAAATAAACCAATAATGCTAACAGCAGTAATAACTACTAGCATAATGAAAATTCTCCAATAGGAAGAAACTTAACCAAAAAAAAAAAAAAAAAGAGAAAAAAAAGGAAAGATGGTACACAATCCAAAAGCCTAGTTTGTTAAGGAAAAAACTGTAATGTGAGTAATGCTCTACTAATGGTTGACAAGGATATGCTCAAACATCTGGAAAGACTCCTAAGAAAGCAAATCTTCTAGCATTTATGTTTCTAATAGAATAAATCTGCTTGTTGGTCTTCAACAAGTTGGTACTAATTGGTCGGCCAACATTGGGATTCAATTTAGGCGTCAACATAAAGGTATGAAGTACAGTATCAACTGTCAAGTATGACGAAAAACTATGACAAGTAGAAAATCTCTAACTTGCTCCAAAAATCCAGCGATTGTAATTGTCAACATATGGGCCAAGACAAATTGAAGCTCATTTACTCGAGATTAATTCTAAAAGGATTTACTAGAGAAATATTAAAGTTCTCAATCTCAGCATGTGTAAGTACTAAATTTGAATAACTGTTAGCAGAAAATATGTGGCGTAAGAATAAGTTGATAATATAAATACCCAACTGGGGCAGTCAGATGAAGAATTGTTTAATTAGCCTACCTAAAATATCACAGACCAACAAAACTTTCATAAACTACAATGATATGACAAGACCAATCATGCATATAATGTATATGCACAAAGGAATCTAGGAAAAGATACCAGAATAAAAAAGGAGAAGGTTAGAAATTGTAAATTAGTCCGACGTTCAATATACTATATACAAACACTTATGGTTGAACAAATGACCTTACATAAAATTCTATAGCTCCTCATATCGTCCCAAAAATAAACTTTTGAACTCTTTAAGTGTGCAATTCAATTAATTTGCTATTTTATAGGTTGCGTAGCAAAATTACACTGGCTCATTACCCACCTAGACTTTTTCGTCTTGAGGGGAAAAATATCGCATTTTGAAAGTTGTTCCCAGTAACAAAAACAAACATCCAGTAGATTCTAAATTCGATTGACTTACAACAAAACTAGCACATCTAGAAACAGTACAAGGATATACACAGCTCAGAGAGTTCGACATTCATGTTAAATTAATTGATAGAATGAACAATAGCAAACACGCAACATACCTTGACAGGGAAGGTTCCCATAGGAAGTTTTGTTGTAAGAAGTTCCCTCAAACGACGGATCGCCTTGACCTTGTTTGCTAGAATATCAAGCAATGGCAAGAGTTCCTCTGTCTGCAGTGGAAAGTTTGGAGAAAGCCAAAGAACAGGCCTTAATCCTTTCTTATACTCATTTTCACGACCCCCGTCCTTGTGGCGATTTCTGTTCTCGGAACTTGTAGAAGAAGAAGCTCTAGTATCCCTTCCTCTTCGGTGCCCATCTGTCCTCACAATCTCCACAGAATGTCTTCCTGGTTTGATCTGATTTCTACTCGGAGATTCCCCAAGCAGATCACTCACCTTCTCCTCTACACATAGAGAATTTCTAGGCGGGGCTATTTTCTTCGGCCCTTCTGTCTTAGTATCTTTTTTCCTCCATCCACTAAACCAACCTTTCTTTTCTTGCTTAGTCTCCCCATTTCTACAACCATTGACATCTTCTATGGGAATCTCCCTCTGCTCATAGCAGCTATGTCGATGCCCAATAATTCCATCACCATTCTCTACAGCCATATCTGCCGTATCCAATTTAAGCGCAGCTTCAAGTTGTCTCTTCTCATCCTCGGTCAAGATATCATCAATCTCCTCACTTTCTGGTTCATTGTCATTGCAAGATGAAAAGAACTCATCATCTGTCATAGCCCCCGGGACCCTCCTCGACTTTATACTCACCACCACATTATGCATATCATACACTTTAGCCTTCCATGATCCGACCATTTCCGTCTTCTCCTGCCGCCTCCAAGTCAACTGAGGCAAGAGAACCGCCTGAGTCACATCAATCCCGGGCCTAAATATGTTAGTCTGGGACATTGCAACCACTTCTTGCTTAACCTCTTCTTCGGTTGCTGGAGAACCCGCACCATCCAAAGCATTCATTACCTCCTTATCCTTGTGCGATATCATGCACAATGACCCGGGAGGGCATTTCTCATCCTCCGACCCGTCACCAAGGAAAAGAATACTCTGATCCGAACGCTGAATTCTAAACCCATCAAAACCCGCCAAAGTCATATCTGCCCTCAAATTCGCACCCCTCTTCCAAATCTTGTAAGTATCCGAAGGGGCAATCCTAGAAATGAAAGGAATCACAGAACTCTCAAAATGAAATGTAATTTCCATGTAAAAGTCCCTCATCCTTCTCATTGTCCCAACCAACCTAGGCAATCTCCTACACCATTTTGCCCATGCCAATGGCTGGTAATGCCTAACTATAATCATGGCAATAGCTTCTTCTCTATTGCAAATGGCTTCCTGAAGCGCACTCCAACCACTCTCGTTCTGCAAGCTCCAGTCCGCCCCAGCAATCATAAGCATCTCCGTGGCCGTATGGTCGCCAAGCTTGACAGCCAAGTGAAGAGGCGTGTCGCGATTCGGGACATCCCGGCGATCAATAGCAGCGGATATGGTCTCAGCCTTCTCTTCCTCGGCCAAAGAAATGTTTTCATTGCGAATCTCAGATGGGTTACAAAGGCGAGGCAGACCCGCCAATATCCTCCTGAGAGTGGCATAATCCCTTGTGGCTATGGCCTTATGAACAGGGCTATGAGCATACTTTGAAACGTCAATGCCAGCCATTCTCAGGAGTATATTATATTATATAAGAATTCAAACAGACCCACAGTTCAATGTGCAATATTTTTTTTTTCAGTTTTGTTTTTTGAGAGAGAATCAATAACCCAATTTGGAATTCAATAACACCATGAAGTAGAACAAAAAAACCCAGTTCAGAATTGACCCCAAATTCGAGAAATTCCCTAGTAATCTCTCTCTTTCTGAGAAACAAAAACAGACCCAATTCAGATTACACCCAAAGGAAACGAGGGCATGTTATGAAAAACCAAAAAAAAAAAAAAGACAGTTTGACAAACAAATTGGAAGCACGAGAAAGAAGAAAAGTATATTGGGTGGGCCCAAGGCAAGAATCCAAGAGACGAGGAAATCTAACCTTTCTATCTTCTTTTCTTTTCTTCTCTTTCTCCTTCTTCCTTGAGAGACCAAGATTGCAAACTCAGGCACTCAACCCCACCAAACCAAGAAAACTCTCTCTTTCTCTCTCTATAATATTTATCTCTCTGTGTTTCTCTCTCTAGATTTCCATCTCATTCGGAAGTCGAAAAGGAACTAAGTAAAGGACCGAGCCTTGTGATCCAATCCAGATCAGACAAACCCCAAGAAAGAACATGCATGTGGGCGTTTGAAACCCCTAAATCTTATAATTTTTAATTAAAAAAATCAAAGAAAAAAACAGTTATCAAAAAATGAATGGGATTAAAAATAAAAAAGGGTCAAAAGCAGAATCAAGAAACGAATACGAGAAAACAACAACTAAACCCCTCCATCCCAAGCAAACTATGGAGTCTCAAACGAAGTTTTATGGGACGAAATGAACAAACTACAAAAGCCTGTCGTAGTTTTTGTTTTATTTTTTATTTTTATTTTACTTTTGGTGAAGACAAAGATAAGAACGTAAAGATGGAAATGAAAAGAAAAGTCGGAGAGAGGGGGTGAGCCTGAGATGGTCCAAAATGGGAAGTGCAGCATGTGACCAGAAAAAGAGGGAACCTGCCTTCGCCTTTCCCCCAATTAATTTTTTTTTATTATGGTCTTTTAACTTTTTATTTATTTTTTTATTTTAACTTAAAGGGATTTGTTTTACTTTTAGAGACGTTTGATTCATGTATTAAAATCATAAAATTATAATTATTTTTTATTTATGTGTATTTTTTATAAGAGAAAATATTATAGTGAATCATGAATCATAATTCGAATCGGGGTAGAATCTCCCAATCAAACAACCTACTATTATTTTAATTTGTTGTAGATAACTTCATTATTTAATTTTTGTAACTGTATATTGATTATGATTTGTTTTATTCTAATTGTTTTTTAACATGTTTATTCTAATGAATTGATTAGTTTACTCTGAAAAAAATGATAATAAATAAGAGTAATTTAATAATAATAATGATTAATTACAAAAATTACATGTAAATTATAGTTCTTATAACACTCTGACTATCTGATCATTAAGGGTGCGTTTAAATTAGTGATTTTTAATTTTAACATTTGAAATTTAAATTTTTTATAAGAAAAAAATATTGTAGTAAAATCAAAAATATGAATTAAAACGCATGAAATAAACGAGCCTTAAAACGTTATACTCATTCCTCCCGAATGTTAAAATATTAACAAAAATAATCACTTTTGTTATTGTTTGAAACGGAAATTGACAAATAATTAGTTTGTGGTACATATTTAAAGGTATTTCGCTAACTTCAAGGGTTAAAATTTAATTCAAGTTCAAAACTAATTTAAATTTGAATTTTTAATTATGAAACATTCACTATTAATTGAATTTAAGTTTAAAATAGTATGAAGCTTTGGTTTTTTAATATTTTATTATATTACATGAAAATTAGAGTGAAAATTAAAATGTGTGGGTAAAATAATAATTGTGCACTAATTTATTAATAACAACTATTGCTTATATGACATGTATAATTTCCGTTAGAAATCTTAACAGAAGGGGTATTTTTTTGTTAAAATTTCATTGTTTGAGAGAATAGGTGTTACGTTTTAAAAATTGAGAGGCATAGTGTTATAAGAGCTATAATTAACTTTCAAAATGACAATTTTTAAAAATAACCTTTGAAATAGAGCCCTTTTTATTTCTACCTCTTAATATTAACTTATATATTTTTACTTTTTTATACTAGAACTAATAAAATAGTAGAGTTTTTTAAAATGAATACTTTTAATAATGTTTAAGTAGAATACATAATTTTTTTCTTTCTCGAAACGATTATTAGATTAGGCCCCCTAGCTTGGTGTTACTGTGCCAGCGAGACTCAAATGGCCTGGGCATTTCACACATTTTAAAATTAAATTCACACATTTTATAACTGACAACGTTTTTCTTTTTTCCTTTTTTTTTTTTTTTTTTGCTTTACCAGTCCTCAATATATATAATGTTGCAGATTAATCCCAAACTCTTTTGTAAGTGGCATTATGTCATTATGATACCCAACATTCTTGTTTCTTGGTGTCTATTAATAATCTACTAAAGTCATAGCGTAGTCCTAGTTAATTAGTTAATCAAAATAACGGTCACCAACGAAATACATCAAATTATAAACGGAGAAAATTCATCTATATAATGAAACCAACTCTCTTAAATATCGCTGGTAGAGGTGAAAGTTTGGCCGCACAGCTTGCTCAGCCCGAGCTCAATAGTCTGAATGGAAATTTTGGATCAGGCCAACTCTAAATAGAAGAGTGACGGATCAGTCTGGTCTACAATTTTTTTATAAGATATTTTTAAAAAGAATCTTTAAAAAAATGACGTTTGGACTGAGCCGGATAAACATTTGGGCTCGAAACCTTGGCCCGACCCGATCTAAAAATTAGTGTCAGGTTCGGGCCAACGGTGGTGGGCCTCATGTCAACTTGTTTGGTCTGACCCAAACATACAGCTCTAATCGCTGGTAATTAAGAGAACTCTCACATATTTATTTCTCACCTCATTTGAAACACTAAAACAATTTGAGTGTTTGATAAACTATAGTTATAATAGCTGTGCTAGTTCCAAAATCAATATAGTAACGTTTGGTAAATTATGAGGTTAAATTATTGTTGATAATTAAAAATTACGACTATATTATATTATACTATAATATAATATATATTTAATATTATATTTAATATAATACAAAAAACAATTATTATATAATATAATAATATTATTAAAATAATAACTGAAATAATTAAAAATAATGATTATATTATATTATACTATACTATAATATAATATATATAATTACAATATAATGTATATTTATTATTATATTTAATTATATTATTGTATTATTATATTATATTATATTATATTATATTATGAGTTTGAATTTTAGATTGAGAAGATTGTAAATTTTAAATTTCATTATGGGTATTATGAAAGTTTGATTAATTGTACTATGTTGATTCCCGCACAATCTAAAAGCTAAAATTGTCTTTGGGCTGCTTCTGATTTTGGCTGTAGATTCTTCAAAAAACACTTTTTAAGAGATTTATCACACACTAAAATCAATTTTTACTATAAGCAGAAGTTGATTTTGGGAGCTAAAAATAATACCAAACTAAGCTAATAAGAAACCGTTTTATCATCTTTCATTCTCATATGAGCTACCTTATTTTGCTCCATTGTTCAAATATTTGTGTCCTATACAATTCCTCCCTTAGTCGCGTATGCTCTTCTATTAGCTCTCATTAACAGTGTGACTTAAGCAAGTAGACGCATTTTCAATGACAACGACAAGTACAAAAGATGACTAAACAGTGGGAGAACAAAATACAACCAGTTGGAAACAAAATCATTATCCTCTTTTAATTTCTCAAAGTTTATCTTTCGACTAATCTTAAACAAGATATAATCTCCTGATGAAAAAGTTCATTGAAAAATATTAGGAGATTATATGAGATTAATGTTGTACTTTGTATTCTGTCAATCTTAGAATTACAATGACATTCCCTTGCCAAATTCAATTAAAATGACACATATAATTAATTACATCATTTTCACAATAGAATGACAAAAACATTGATCCATTGATTAATCCAGATTAGCCCTCCCATTTTACTTTAGCAACTTAGCTCACGGTTTTTTTTTTTTTTAAATAGTAAGAACGAAATTCATTAAGTGACTAAATTGTGGAGCATAACGCAGCTGAATTACAGCAGAGAATGAAAAACATAAGCAAATTAACAACTGAGCTCATTGGTTATAATTTGCTCTCACGCACTTTGCTTTTTTTTTTTTTTCTACTCTATCAACGTTTTCAAAGGGTGAGGTCTTTCGCTATGGTTATACAACCGTAGCTTTACTATTATTATTATTATTATTATTATTATTTTATACGATATAGGACATGTAATGAAATTATTAAGGGTAACTTTAACAAATATTCTTTAAAATGATATTATTAAGGATTTTTGAATTTTAATATTGGCCTATTAAATTTTGTCTCTTTAGATTAAATAATTTGACAGATTATTATATATATTTTAACAAATTATATTGGCGGTGGGTCTCCAAACATTAACGGCGGACGTAATTTAACAGATTACTATATATAATTTGACAGATTATTATTAAAATGGTAGCTTATCACATTAAAATAGTAGAACTTTAGAAGAATGTATTTAAGTGTCAGTTTTTACAATTTTTTCAATCATTAAGATTCAAACTTTGATGAACGCACGCACACACTCACACACAAAACTAAAATATTGTGTGTAGAACTTACAAAGTAATTAAGTGTATAAATAATAGAGAGAAATACAAAAATGCCACTCGAAATAATACTGATTAATATTTATTCTACTCATACTATATGGAACCTTAGCTCCCCATATGGTGTTGTGCACAAACCTTCTATATAAAGAAGGGCGGATGACATGTAAGTTTTTGTACTTGCTTGCTTATGTGCTTAGTTTAGGTTTTTTTTTTTTTTTTTTTTTTTTTTTTTTTTTTTTTTTTTAAAAAAACCTTTTTTAAAAATTTTTTTTTTTTAACTTTTTTTTTTTTTTTTTTTTTCCAATTGTTCCATGTTAAATACTTTTTCCATCATTTCTCAAAATAGTCCTAATCATTTTTATATGTTTAGATTTTGCCGCTTCAACATCTAGCTTTGTTTCTCTTTTTATGTCTAAATATTTCTCACTGAAACAAAAATTTGAGGTTATCATTCCATATTGGTTTTAAACTTGTATTTATTTTACTAAAATATAAACAAGATTATGGTAGCCAAAAATATACAAATTGTTAATTCTTGGAAGTATTACTAATAACAAAAATTATCAATGATGCTTTTTTAATCTAAATATACTTGAAAAAAGTGTAAATTACTTGTATTCCGCTGGCACGTCCAAAGGAATCGCATTAAACTTAGTTAGAGCATAATAGTGCGGTATTCTTTCTCCCTCTCCATTTTTTTCCCCTCCTTTAAAAATAAGAGAATTTCATTATAAGAGCATAGATAAAAGAACAAGCGTCCATTAGTACATACCAAGTATTGCACTTAAGTTTTTCACAAGTTAAAATTAGCAATCTTCATCATCATTTAAATATTAGGCTTAAATAATTCGTTGTCAACTCTAGGAGTTGATAGAACCCCTCAAATTGTTAGTCCAAGAGCTCAAAGAGCTTTGAAAAACTAGCATTTTTTAAGATTATCATCTTAGATGACGATAAGAATTGCCAAGCTATTAGCAACTTCAAACAACATACAAAATTAAGAGTTTGTTTAGAAGCCGGGTTTAAATTAAGTGGTTTGAATCAGAATTATTTAAATTTTGTGAGAAAAATACTGTAATAAAACTTTTTAAATTTAATTTATTTATGAGAGAAATACTATTTAAACTAATTTTAGTGGTAGTTTGAACTCATCTTCCAAATTGGCTCTAAGATTGATGTAG